TGCGCGCTCCGCGGTGTAGAGTATGAATGATGAGTGTAAATAGTAAAAAAAAAAGGAGGAAAGTATGATGACACGTAAAATGATCTGTAATCATTGTACATGTGTAAATAATTGATGATGAGCTGAAAACGGGAGCAGCCGCGCGCGGTAGAGGCGGCAAAAAGAGCGATGGGAAGGAACGGATTCGAAAATCTGTGATAGTCCACCCACAATGCACTGCTGGCGAGACACCTCAGACTGTGGCAAGGTAAAGTATGGTAAAGTGCAGCTGAGAAGCGAGTGCAGTCACCGTGTGAAATGGCGTACGTGATCGATTTTATCAATGTTTTGTGTTATTGAAAACCGGTGGTGTTGTGTTGCGACGATGCTCAAAATGTGCCGCGATCGAAAATATTCGTGAAATTCAGTGCGTGCAATAATTCCGGCACAAAATAGGGAATCTTGCGGTAAACGAAAGGCAGCTTGGATCTCACTTCTGCTGCCTGACGACCATAATAAATTGGCCTAATGTTATGGGGTGTTTTGGAAGTGCGAGCTCAAAAGCGGACCATGAAGAAAGTAAAAAAGGGAAGGAGACTAATAAGAAGATCAATCAACAGCTACAGAAAGACAAGCAAATCTACAGAGCAACACACAGACTTTTACTACTAGGTAATCATCTATGCTCCTCTCAATTCTTCATTACATTCCCCAAAACATTCTTACTGTCAGCCATATTGTCTTTTATCTTTATTATAACTAGCCAAAATTTCGTTGCCCGCGGTAATTATGTCGCGAAAAATATGTTGTTTCCTTTTCTAGTTTGCATACCATCTTTTATGTGGCCCAGGAGACTTGTTTTCCTGGAGCACTCAGATGTTGAGCTACCGCCCAGTTGATACCGCCTTCTGTGGCCATGGTTTAGTCCCTCCGACTGTGTTTTATCCCCTGCTCACTAATGTTATTTGCCTCCACTTTTATGAATATGCAGTCCAATTTGGTTGGTTAATCGCGCCAGATCTGTATCTCAATTCAGCAGCATTAGGTTGTTGCAGAATATTAGCTTATCAAATCAAGCTAACCTCAAAATGTTGTTGATAAGAGATCTGACCTCAGGTATCCCTGCTGCAGCGTAACATCCTAGTTATAACTACCAACTGGCTCTTGCGGTTAAAAAGAGGACTGATTGAAGCAGTAAGAGTTGCAAATTTTCAGTCCAAGTGTGCAGTGTCAATTCTGAACCCACTTAAATTCACCCTATTGTATTGGGTCATTAGGATAAACCTTGGCTCAATCAGTCGCAAACCTCCAAATCTCCCAATCCAAGTTGATAAGTTCGGTTGTTTTGCTGTAGTAATAGACTTGTCAGGATTTTATCATTTTTACATCTCTGCACCTTAGCGAAATTATTGATATATTCAGCTACTATGACACGGGCGTATTGACATTTTCTGGAGTTCGTGCCCTGTCAAAAGTGGGTGTTAAAACTCCGTTTTGATATCACTGCCAAAACTACTGCTGCATCAATGATTTTTGCAATGTTCTGGCAGTTTCCGGGTGGGTTAATTTTTTGTCCTCAGAGCATACCTAGTTGCACACATTCGCTCTCCCCACCAGCAGGCCGATTATTGAAAGTTTAAAGCAGCCCGATAAGACATCGAAATGCGATATATTGCGTGGTTAAGATAGGGCTATGTCTTGTCTTATCGTGCTGACATGGTTTCAATAATCACCCCGCAGCCATCCTGTATTTTTTATTGTTGTGATTACTATCAGTTAGCTCCCTAATCTATTGGTTGCCACAAATGATAACTTTAATATCATCTTCGTCTAGTGAAATCCAGTGAGTGCAGATTTTCAAGATTTCTAGAGAGAGAGACCATGTTCACTCAGTTTAACAGAAACGCATCAAGTTCAAACTGAGAAATAAAGGTTTGAAGTTTTATACCTCCATACATGTCAAAAGCAAAGTTTAATGAGTATCTTCTTGTTCAAAATAGTTTTTCTCTACTTGGAATTTTTACAGGAAGATTTTTTGGCAGAAATTTATGACAGGTAGAATTCAAAACTACCTACTTTCAACTAACTTTTAACCTCCCTTTCCTGGATTTTATCTCTTTGCAATCTAGGTTTGTTCCATTTTAGGAATTTCAACTCAATTTTTTAGGAATTTGTACACGCCTTTTTTTTTTTGGAAAAAATCCTAATCTACTAATTTATGTTCTATCCTTCATACCCAAGTACTTTAAATTCATGCACTAAAGTTGATTTTCGCTTTTGTTTGCTCTATTAATGGAAAGCTCCTCGCTAAGTGGCTTTGGTATTGCAGTCCCTCCAGATCTGCTGCTTCAAACTCAACAGCTTCTTGCTGCGGATGTACTTTTTTCAGGTCTATACATTATTATGGCTACCAAGAATGATCAAAAACGGTTGAAACGACTTGAGTAATATTTATATTTAGCCGTCAAAACTGCCTTAGAAATCTTCACTGTGAAAGAAAAGTTTGGTCACTTAAATGAAGAATAAATGAGGCATTTCGTGTTGGCAGCAGTTCGAAAAAGTTTTCAGCTACTGCTGACACTGACCAGATCATAGATTTCCATGGTTTTCGGTAGCGAAATTTTATAGAGACATCGGACACCACTGTTATTAATAGCCACGTCAGTCCACTTTTAAGGTACATAGCCAATGCATTTATGCAATTTCACCCTCGACATGCACTTATTTTGTGGCTCCAGCGTTGTTGCTTTTGAAAACTGCAACCGTAGGTAGTAGTAGTAGGTGGATTTTTGGCTGTGCTCCTCCCCTCTTTCCCTGTAAATTGATGTGCTGGCCGGTAGGCAGCTTTGCCTTGATTTTTCTCGGTTCAAAATCCATTTCTTAACTTATCACACGATATTGAAATAGAGCATGAGAAAGGAAGCGCGCTGATGGCGGCGCAGAGATGCAACTATCCGTGCCCGATGGGTGTCCGTGTTGCATCTGCAAAATTGACGGCGCGAGACGTGACGCGTGAGTGAGATCGCAGTGCTCCGCTCTGCTACCCAGGGCCGGATTGAAGGGGGGGGGGGCACATGGGCCACGGCCCATGGCGGCAAATTTTGCAATATTTTTTAAATGAAGGTATAAAAAACGATTCGGATTTAGGAAAACAAAATTACAAACGGGAAAAGGCGACAAAATCTCTAATTTTCTAAGAGGATAGTAATTTCTAATTTTGACGTCTTTCAGTGATACAAGAGACAGCACCTTTAATTAGTCGAGTTTAGAGAGAAACCAAACACGCAATTTGGCCTGGAACGGCGCGACTTGAAGAGAAATGATGACGAGGACTTAAGATGAAAAGGAGAAGCCCTCAGCGCGGCGATCGGCATGTAACACATACTAGCGCCTACAAGACTGCACGAATACTTCACGCATTGCACCAAAACACAGTGCGGTCATTGCGGACAGCGTGAAACGGATAGCGCCTGCAAGAATGCATGAATACCTCACTCATTGCGGCAAACACAACGCGATCAGCGAGAGACGCATAGCGCCTACAAGACTGCGTGAATACTTCACGCATTGCGTAAAACACAGTGCGATCTGCGAGGCGCGACGGCGGAAGTTAAAATCATTAATCCACATTTATGTTTGTCCTTTCATAATTTTTCGTTCAATTCTTATGAATGGAAGGCCTTGTCCACATAGAGATAGGTTCACGAAACTTAACTTTTGCTAGTAGTGTTGACAGGGCTTTCTCAAAAAATGTGTTCAACACCAGTAAACGCGTCTTATGCACCCCTCCCCCGCTGGCACATTCATTTGATGGTTTTCATTGATGTTTCAAAACGAATGAGAAGGGGGCGGCAAAATACTAGCGGCCCATGGGCGGCAAGTAGGTAAATCCGGCCCTGCTGTTACCAATGAGGGGTCGCTCGGATTCGGGAGAAGAGTTAAAAAACGCTCTTACCTTGGGCTGTGTCGTTCACCTAGCCTTGTTAAAGCACCGCAACAAATAATCCAGACGGCAACGAAAACAATATGGAAAAAAAAATAGAGTAAGGGAAAGGACGCGCGTTGACGACGGCGCAGAGATACAACTATTCGTGCTTGACGGATGCCCGTGTTGCATCTGTAAAATTGAAGGCGCGATGGCGCGAGGTGTCAACTCTCAATGTTCCACCCTATGGTGCCATTGAGATGTTGAGATTCGTGGGAAAGGTTAAAAAGAAGGCTCGATTCTGTTTCTTCTATCCTCGGCCGTGCCGACACTTCATTTTTTTCAATGGCTTTTCGATGTCTGATTCTTTTTGTAGTATGCATTAGTTAACTTCTTCCCCTGTGGGACCCAATGATACTTTTCTTTTTAAAGCAAGGATTATTTTCACTCACGCAGTTGATTTGAACTGGAAATTAAGTCATATTAATCCATTTGTGATCACGTGTGACCCTGCATGTATTTGCAAAAATACGGATAGTATGACCGCGTCCAGGAAACAATAATTTTTAATTTTTCTGTTGCAAGTTAGAGTAAAAGTCTCAGAAATTTTGAGTAGACGGAACGGAATGCAACAACTCCGTAGTGGAGTGGTTTCGTTTTGGGAAGCAGGAGGAACAATTTCTCCCGCCCCCCCCCCCCCACATTCCTGCCCCTTCCTCCTGTAAATCTGACCTGTTTTTGGTCAGTTTTTGGTGAATTCTGATTTCTTTCGGGTATTTTGGAAGTTTTTTCGCAATCCTCCCAACAGTAAAATTTCTGAGTACTCGAAGAGTTTCAAAATGTGGATAAGGCATTAAAATATCTCTGGACTGGAGAAGTAGAGCGTTTTATCTTTTTATCGGAAACTTCATTTTCACCAAGTTTTTTTTTTTTTTTTCTTTCTGTCAAACCGCACCGAAACTTGTATTCCTCATCGAAAACACCAGTCGTGTAACCCAAGTTCGGTTCCTTTGCCCGGTAACTTCGGACGCCCGGACCAGAAATTTCGGCGTTTGATGTGAGCGGACGTTCGGTTCCCGTAACCGAGGTATTCCTTACCGTGCTGATGAATATTGCCGTGCCAAGGAAAAATGTCGTATGAGCACTCAACTGTGGCTAAAGGGTATCCCAGGATAAGGGCACCAAAATGCCCCTCCTCACGGATTTTGAATTTAATGGTCTAAACCCCTTCAGGAGGTCCTAAAAACATGGTTTTGGGCAATTTTAACCTCCTGACCCCAACCACCCCCCGTCCAGCCCCGAAAAACCCATTTTTCGGGGAATTTTGGGGTATTTTCACGTTTTATTTCATATCTCCCGCGTTTTTCAATGAAAATGCACCAAAATTTCACCAAATGTACATCAGGGCAATCACATTCTTGGGTAAAAAAATCAAATTTATCGAAATATATTTAGACTCCGAAAAAAATTCGTGAAAATCGTAAATTTTCAATTTTTTTCAGATTTTAGCGGTTTTAAAAAAAATGAGGACACATACATTTTTTTTTATTGCCTTAAAATGTAGGTAATATACCCAGTTGTTACCAAAAAAAATGTCAAGCCTTCACGCGTGGTGCGTCCCACCGAAAAAATAGTTTTTTTGGCGCCAAAACGGTCAAAATGGCTCTTTTGGCAACGGTTTACTCGCACGCTATCAAGATAGTAACACTAAAATCTCTAATTTTTGGTTTCAATGTTTCAAGAAGCA